TTCTTCAATTGCACCAAGTGTAAAATTACACAACATAATTTTCAACCTTTGAAAAAAAACTTGTGACACTTCCTGCTAAAGCCTCAAATTGTAAAACTAATATCTTTTACTGTACCAAATTAAACGGCTGAAACAAATTGAACCCAGAAAGTCTCTCTAAACCAACAATAATTATCATTGACACATCGCACATATGTCAAAAAGGTCAAAAAGTTTAACAAGCGAGTGGACATTCAGGCGGCAAAACACTTCTAATTATTTCGTAGCAAAGAGATAGAAAAGTACAGCTGCACTCATGGTTGTACTGGCTTTTAGCCAAATTGGTATCGGCATTCACAAAGCAGATGTCAGACCCATGATTCAGTTTCTGTTCTGCAACAACAGCATTCCTTCCCATTCCCTCTCCATAATTTGAGTTCATTCAAAGAAAACACGAACACAGATTTTCGATCGACAAATCCATCAGTCATAACTAGAAAACTAAAATTTTTAAGTGTATCTTTGAGAGGTTTTTTTCTGGATCATTGAATATGTCATCCTCTTAATTCAACCACCGACTGAATAATGATGTCAGTTCAGCAATCGATTTATTTTCTCAAAATAGTAGTTTGTTTTCGTGTAAATCCACAGAACCATTCGATTCCGGCCGTAGGTTCTAACAAGTTGTGCTAAAACCAAAAACTGCAAAGAGTGTGAAAATTATCTTATAACTTATCAAGCGACCTCTCCCACCATCCTTTTATCCCCTGTCAATCATATAGAGACAGACATAAACTGAGATCGCGTAGCACTAAGGTCGGCAGGCGACTACCGGTCCAAACGCACTCACCTTAAATCGCGCAAACCTTCCTCTTGTATAACCTTGAGGATGTCTTTGTGAGTGAGAGGTTCCAGAGACCTCTCTAGCACCTAAAAGCAACAATGAAATTACTCAGTTGACAATAACAAGCACAGAAGGCAAATCACAGAGGGTCGAGTCAGCTGACACTGGGTTCATTGTGTCACCATTGCAGTTTACCTGTTTCGCCGCTTCAGCCCATGTTAAACCCTTCTTTCTCTTCGTTTCTCCTTTTTCCGTACTCATTTTCCGCAAGACCAGTTACAGGTCGATATCGTCGTGAAAATCTGATCTTTTCAAACGCGGAAATGGTCAGGCATGGGCGAAATACGAGGTCTAATGCCGAATAATTCAGCCGATCAAACCGCCATTTTGCAAGCGAACGAAACGAACACAACGGATCACGTGATAATTTAACAGGAAGTTTTGAACCTGGCAACCACGCCTTCATTCCTTTCAAGTGGTGAAAGAGCCTGGGTCGAACTTTTTGTTGTGATCAATTTTTTTCGGCAAAACTAATTTCTCATACGCGATCGACAAAGTTCAAGTGCGTGGCGTTGGATTGAAAGATATTTTCACTGTAACATAATGCAAACCATAAACTTTCTGAACATGAAAATTCTAACGAAAACTAAAGATCCCTAAAAACGCACAGACCAAAGCAAGTTCAAGACTTACTTAAGTGCACAATCACACGCGTTTTTGACTGATCTATCTCGATCGAGAAAAACCTTTTGCGATCGATCCTAGCCGTATCTTCTGCGGACTGAAATAGAACTGATGTTCTTCCATTTCTCCTTGACAACCATCGTGAAAACCCATACCGGTAAAAACAGAATCGCTTGTAACCAAGTGGAATTCGGAACAAGGACACTTCAACTGAAAGTGAGCACTTCGGTTGCATTTGCACCAAGAACATGTTGGCCACAAACAACGACACGCGAACTATGTTACGCACAAGAAAAAGGACGCGGCCTTTTTGTTATAACATACCTGAGAACCAAACGACTGCCCTCCATACAAGCCTTTTCTTAACCAATCAACGGACAGAAATCTCCTTTTCGTTTTGCAGGTACAAACAAGACTTTGCCTTATACGTGAGGCATGACGGGAATATCTCCCCAAACCTTGGGCCCCCAAGGGAGTGGAGAAGGGGAAATTCAAGCCTCATCAGAGACCCCAGGGGCGGGACGTCCTTGGCAACGAAGAAAGGAAGAAAGCGGAAAATCATCGATGTAATGGCAGACCAAGAAATGACTACATGCTGATTCCTTTAACACTATTTTAGTATGCAATATTTTGGGTTCAAACAAAACCTGCAAGTACAAGTCCAGAATTAATTGCTACCTAACAAAATCGATAATTTGCGGACCCAGTTCGACTGACATCACTGGGATCCCTATTATATTTTTCTTCGCTGTTTAGCCATCTCTTAATTTTAGGACCAACATGATTAAAGTAACTGGATACATGCCGTTTAAAAGATATTCACAACAGGATCATTAATTATAGATAAATTATAGCGACTTTTACATGTAAACAGGATGTTGAATTTTCTCTGAATGCAGAATATTAATTAAATTCTCTCTGAATCTGAACTTTAAGAATAAACACATATATTCAGCTTGATATTGGCCTCGTTCTTTTTTTTGCTTGTTTATGGACCTCGACTCCGTCTCGGTCCATAAACAGGCAAAAAAACAACTTGGCCAATATCCAGCCATCTTGACCTCACGCTTGGCCAATGGCGCATGGGCCGGCATGGCCCATACATAGCTGGCATTTGGAAATTAGAACTTCGAAAATGCCGGTGATAACAGACTCGCATTACAAAACTTTAGTTACTCGGATGAGGCGCAAAAAAGGAGTTGTTGGTCATTGATTTTTATAACATTTGGTGGCTTGTAAGAGCCGTTTGTTGAAACGGGAAACCCTCAAAGTGTACTTTAAAGTGAAGGTTTTTCGCGGGCTTTTTCGTCGCGGGTATTTTGGCCGCTTTCTTGCGGGACTTTTTAGCCGCTGGCTTCTTTGCTGCCGGTTTTTAAGCTGCGGGCTTCGATTTCTTTCCCGCTGGGTCTTTTTAGCTGCAGGTTTCTTGGCTGCCGCCTTTTTTGCTGCCGGTTTTTTTGCAGCCTTTTTTGCCGCAGGTTTCTGCGCTGCCTTCTTGGCGGCGGGCTTCTTTGACCTTCTTTGTCTCGGAGGCGGGCTTGTTCTTTGGTTTCTTCTCCTTCTTTTCCTCCTTCGGCACCCTGAAGGAGCCTGAGGCACCAATTCTCTTGGTGTGTAGGAGTTTTCCACTGGCAGCACTTCTTTTCAAAGCCATCTTCACGTGAGGACCCACCTGTGTATGTTTTATAGAAGAACCTACTTTTTCATCATTATCGACAAGACAATCAACAAAAGCCCATCATAAATTATGTTTCAGGAAACTTTACTAGCCAAAACGGTCATATATAGAGTATCAAGGTTTTGGTCAGGTCATGAACTGAGGGTAGGGAAAATCGCATACTTTGGTCATAAATGGGGTAAGGTTTTGGGTAGCGGGCCGCACACCCCCACCCAATTTTTCTGGGAGTACCCACCCTCCCCCCCGGGCTTGGCGAGAAGAACTGTTTCGCTCCTTCAGTGCTACAATGGCAGCCTTGATCAACTCTGAATAAGGCGGATGTTCAGTCGGCTTTTTAGACGCTGCCGGATTCTTCTTAGGAGACTTTTGCTGCTTCGGACATCTTGTAATTGTAGAACGTCGAACGTTACTATCGCTTGGGATCAGAAGCATATCACCCAGACTAGGTGATATGCTTCTACTTGGGATTCAATAAGGTCCCTCGGGGAGAAGGTAAACTTTATGCGTCGCATGCGGACCACTGAGGAAACAGAGACAAAATGGCGTCGCGAACCTCGCAAATATTTGCAGAAAAAAGTGTTAAACGCTAGCTGGCTAGCTGGCTAGCTTAAACGCTAGCTATGTTGAACATAGCTTAACAGTTTGTAGCTGTAATATTTTTCAAGTTTCAAATGTAAAAATGGTTTGGGATAAGGACTGAAAAAAGGGTATAAATTTAAAGCGTATAAGTTAACAAAGCAGAAACTTTTTAGCCAATATTTCGCCTTTACTGCTAAATAACTCCAGTTCAGGTCGCTGTCATTCAAAAAATCGTAAATCTTAGGAAATATAAATTCCTAAACATTACTTCTTTTTGATAGAGTTAGCCATACTCCTTTTGATAAGTAAACTAAAGGCTGAACGTTTCTGAAGTTTAAACAACAAGGACACACTCCTTCTGACCCCTCAGTCGGCCATTTGTACTTGTATTTCGACCAAATTGTTAGACTTGTGCTTGTTACAGAGCAAACGTGATACGTTTTTTGAAGACGCGAGCGTTACTTACTAGGGATAAGAAAGCTGATACTTAGAATTTTACTGTTAATTATGTTAGAGCCAGTATAGTATGCAATGACATACGTTACATACTGCCAACATTACATTCAGTGGTTACTGAGTCGTCCATTTTCCATCGCTTGCGGCCAAGTTAAAGGTGTTTATCTAATGTTTCTCGTCACTTTGAAATTACGCGATCTCAGTTTTTTGAAATTAAATCGTAAAGAGAGTGGTCCTAAAAAGCGGAGAAGCAAAAGCGCTCTGAAATGGAGTGATAAAAATTATCCAATATGCTCGATTAATATTCTTGGTTTTTGTATTTTGTAAACACAACAATCTGAGCACAAACGTAAGTTTACTGATCAGGATTATTGGGTATTTAGCAAGAATTTTATTCAGAATTTCAACACCAGCTAGATTTTTATGCACATGATTCTAGGCGAACTCACATGAAAACTAAATATCACATGCATATATTTTCTCTTTTATCGAGTGGAGTACTTGAAACACCACATTACTTTAGTTCTGTACCGCGTCAATACACGCCACGCGCCAAATTATAACGAAGCCAAAAAATTCCCATCTACAGACTAAAAATGTAACGCAGTAACTGAAACAAATTCTAGAAACCTTGTTTGTGCCGGAAGGGTAACCTTTCTTTTGTGGAAAGGACCTGAATACTGAGCTTATAAAGAGCTTCTGCAACAAATATTTAGATGAATTGTTTCGAAGATCTCGTTCAGATTCTGGCGGCGACGACTACTATGGTGCAATCTGCGATTTTCAGTCTCCAACGCGTGCCATACAATGTCTAAAATTACTCTTCCATTTTAGTTTCTAGAAGAGAATCATCTAAATGAAGTAAGTTATAACATTGCTCCTAAAATGGAGGGTAGAAACAGAGTAAAGAGTTTGTTTCAATTTGAATAGCCTTACCGAACAACGAGACAAGGTTATCAACGGCCAGCGACAACTTGTTCGGTGGGTCGCTTCGGCTAGTCAAATCACTGTTAGATCAAAGGATTCGGGAAAAGAATCATTGTTTCCATTAACAAAATTTTTCCAAAGAACCTTATATTCAAGTCTTCTACACCTAGCGAAAGGTAATTTGTTTTCATATGCATGTGGCTTTCGGAAAATTGGGTGGCGATTTTAAAATGCTGCAAAAATCTATCGTACAAATCTCAGATCATGTGCCAGGGATTCCGACGCTTTTGTTGGAGCTAGAATCTAGAGATAATTCTCTGATAGATCAATCGGTCATTGCTTTTATCAATGTGGTCGCTCCTAGAGGAGCCGTTTGTTTTCTTAAGTGATGTAATCCACTCTAGGCTCGTTCTCCGCGGATTCGGCGGGCTAGCTGAATGTCCTTGGGCATGATGGTGACGCGCTTGGCGTGGATGGCGCTAAGCAATCAACATGTCTGGTCGCGGTAAAGGAGGCAAAGGTCTAGGAAAAGGAGGCGCCAAGCGTCACAGAAAGATTCTCCGTGACAACATCCAAGGCATCACCAAGCCAGCCATCCGTCGTCTTGCTCGCCGTGGCGGTGTCAAGCGAATCTCTGGCCTGATCTACGAGGAGACTCGTGGTGTTCTCAAAGTTTTCCTTGAGAACGTGATCCGTGATGCTGTGACATACACCGAGCACGCCAAGAGAAAGACTGTGACAGCCATGGATGTGGTTTACGCACTGAAGCGACAAGGCCGTACTCTGTACGGATTTGGCGGTTAGACTGCACAGTCTGCCAACACAACAAACGGCTCCTTTAGGAGCCACCAAATCTCTCAAAAGTCGTGACCAATAAAATGTTTATTTATGATTCATGATATAAGCAGCAAGATTACAAACACTAATATTCATTGCTCAAATATTCGACAAATATTTTACGATATCCTTTAGCCCGAACAATGGCGAGCTTTTATTGTTTGTTCATGCGAGGTTTTGGCGCCTGCAACGGTCGACCAAATTGCTCGCGCGCACAGCTTTAACGGTTCGCAGCTCTGATATTTTTTAAATTTGCTAGGAAGGGGCTTGCACATAGGCACGATTACCAGCCGCTGTCTGGGAAAGGACCCCGCGCTAAACGTAGACCGGACACGAGAGAGCGGGGGAAATCGAGCCTAGCTTGCACAAGGCTGCTCATAAGTATTTCTTGGTTTTTGCCATGTGAATTGTGCGCAAGACGTGTATTTCGGGTCTATAAAAGTTCATAAGATAGATTGCGCGCGGTTGCCGGTATTCAAAAGTTTGATTTATATCTGCGCAAATCTCGAGCGCGAGAAAACTTTAGCGCGCTGTTGCAGACAAAAGGACGGATAAGTAGCATTTTAGTGCATTGTAAATACTGGATTTCAACAAACCGAGAACCACGTTTTAGTTTGAATAAAGAAGCAGTTGGTGTGGGGCTTTGGAGCTAAAATTGAAAGTAGAGCCGATTTTTGCTGACAAATGTTTCTTTTGTATGTTAGTATTCATGTTGGTCAAAGACTTTTGTTATATTTGGTGGCTCCTAAAGGAGCCGTTTTTTTAGCGAGTCAAAGCTTATTTAAGCTTTGGGTTTCTTCTCCGTCTTTTTGGGCAGAAGTACAGCCTGGATGTTGGGAAGAACACCTCCCTGTGCGATGGTGACACCGGCGAGCAGTTTGTTCAACTCCTCGTCATTGCGGACAGCCAACTGAAGGTGACGGGGAATGATTCTTGTTTTCTTGTTGTCACGAGCAGCGTTGCCCGCCAACTCGAGGATCTCAGCGCTCAAATACTCGAGAACTGCAGCCAAGTACACTGGAGCTCCGGCGCCAACACGCTCAGCATAGTTTCCTTTGCGAAGAAGACGATGGATACGACCAACTGGGAACTGAAGCCCTGCTCGGGATGAGCGGCTCTTGGACTTGGTGCCCTTTGCTTTTCCTTTACCGCGACCAGAC